TGTCTGAAAAATCAAACATCTCTTGACTCATCAGTAAGCAGAAATCTCCTCTTCCCTCCCCTTCTGAAAGTCTAAGCAGTCAAGTTCTCAGCATCTTGGTCCTGAATTGAACTATATTGTAGGTGATGCTATTGAGGGGACGGAAAATGCAATATCAAGAGAAGAAAACAAATTCAGCCTTGAGGAGTAACAATAAACAAACTGAAAGCAAGGAGGGAGAAGATGATGACAAGGAGGACGATGAAGAAGGATTTGTGACTCTAATCCGTTTCTCAGAAGAGAACCCAACAGGAAGAGCAACAGCTCTTTTGAACTGGAAACTGCTGATGGTGGAACTGATGCCCGAAGAAGATGCAGTGTTTGTACTTCTGCTTTGTGTTTCCATTCTCGAGAGTGTGTCTGAGATGAGAAAGATGTGGGGCGTTTGTTGATTAGGAGGAGAATAAGGGAAGCAAGAGTTGGTGCTAGAGACTGGAGTTCTGTAGTTCTTCATCCTTCAGGTTCTTCTATTTCTTCACCTTATTTACAGCCATGGCACTGGAATGCTAACCTAGTGATGGCAGCATCAGATGCAGCAACCAAGAATCTTTCCAGGCAGCCTGCACTGAATTATTCTCCAGCAGAAGGTGGAGATAAGTTGTATAAGGGATGAATCATTGCATGAAAAATTGCGTTAATTTATTTTACAGAAACCCCCCCTGAATTGTAATGGCACTCCGGACTATGATAAAGTTTACATCTTCTTTCTAACAGACCCAGACTTGATTCCCCAAGATTTTGTATATTTTTCAAATCTTTGGACTAAAGTGTAAGGCTTTCCAAATTTCTGGAGGGGCTCTAAATTTGTAAAAGAATGGTGTTTTTTATATCATTTTATTCGTCATTTTTTCCATAGTAAGGGTGAACATGAGATGTGCTAGTCTGATTTCCATCCTGTAACCTTGTGGTGATATCTAAGTCAGCTCCAAAAAATTAGAATCTAGGCCAAATTTGAAACCTAGAACTTAGTCTTAAAACGTTAGTTTCAACTTTCAACTCATTCTAGAATGATTCAAGACTCAAGAGTCCAATCCTAGAACTTACCCAGAAGGTTAGTTTCAAAAATCTGAAACCTTGAACCTATCCTCTCTAAGTCACTTTCAACAAATTTTTATTTCACCATACACACCTACATCTAATTAAGATGTATATGCAATGAACTAGGGCTATTTAGTTGAAAAACTGTTAGGAAAATACTATAAAGAAAGTTGAAAAGTATTATATAGAAAATTGATAAATTTTATATAATAAAGTTTTTGTTGAAATTTTACTGGGTTGTTATTTTGTGTTTAGCAGGAAATTAACATAAAAAAGTTTTAAGGAAAC